ATATCTTAAATTGTGTTCCGAAGATGAACGGAGGTCTTACGGGTTTAGAACGACACGAGGGTGAGTAATTAATGACAGAATTTTCATTTTTGTAATGAAATAATAATAATAATAATAATAATAATAATAATAATAATAATAATAATAATAATAATAATAATAATAATAATAATAATAATAATAATAATAATAAATTAAATCTGTAAATGTAATCCGAGTCTATTTTTTTCTCCTTATTCAACTTTAAGTTAGTATTGAAGTTATGAAGTGAAATGTCCACTGAGTGGTGCTAAAAGTGAATTAAATGTTCTCTAAAACAGATGAACGTGAAGTAACATTATGCAATCTTGCACTTATTGCAGCAGTTCAGAAATAAAATGTACACTAAGCCCTACCTTTAACCTAACTGATAAGTTTAAAGTTTAAAGTAGAAAGCAAATGTGAGATAGAAAAAGTATAGTAAAATATTGTGTGCTCTCTGACTCCCTCTACAGCTGTTAGCAGGAAGTGATGCAACGTCTCGGAGGAAATAAATAGTGAGTGGATTGTGGGTGGTGGAGCTGTCAGGGTGATGTATGATAGCAGGAGATTACTCAAGCACTCATTCATCAAACACACGCCTGCCTGTCATTGTGTTGCTGTCTTGTGCTGTAACAGATTGACTGTAGCTTCATAAATTGCCTGAACGTCTCTTTTAGCGACAGTTCTAATTGCATTAGTATTTCATCATTTGGAAATTGAATTGATAAAGCAGATGCTTTTTATGCATATATTTCATTGCAGTGTTTTGCATTGAGCTAATTTCAGGAACACATTGTTACCTAATTTTCCTGTTTTTGGGAACTTCACAGAATCAAACCAAAACATTAAAGGTGACATATCACGAAAATCTGACTTTTCCAGGTTTTAAGTGCTGTAATCAGGTCCCCGGTGCATCTACAAACTAAGGAAACGTGAAAAAGTTTAACCCAGTAATTTTATTTTAGTAAGCCTTTTTCTGCAAGCATCTGAGAAAACGAGCGCGTCTGATTTCGCTCCCTTGGTGACGTGGCAAAGGGATCTCATTATAATATTACCGCCCCTTAATCTGTAAGTTTGCACCCACGGCGCCGTCATTGTTTTCGCAAGGGACAACGGTGTACTAGTTCTAATGCCATGGCGAAAGTTTGAGCAAAACATGCTAACTTTTCTGTCTTTGGGTGCACAGACGAGCACAGAACACTATTTAGAGTCCCAGCCTCAGAGGAGACAAGAGAGCAGTAGATTTATTGATTTATTTACTGTATATTGCTGCTGCCACACAGATCTAAAATAAACATGCGATTTATTTCCCAGCTGTTTACCTTCACAGATATAACTGTTTTTGTAACTCGTGTGTGTTTTTAACGTAAACTTGTGTGTGAATGAGAACTTAGTTTAGTACTCACATGCTGTGACAGCCGCTTTCTGTCCGTGTGCTTCGGATGTGTGCACTCAGAAAACCGTATATAAGATGTTTAAACTCATATGTTTTAAAACGCATGATTTCAGCGCGATAAACATGATAATCAGAACCAAAACATGTTTTTAGCAAGTCCGAGCTATAATTGCGCAGCTCTATTCTGGAAAAGGGAGTGGGGAGCAGCAGCTCATTTGCATTTAAAGAGACAGGTCCGAAAAACAGCGTGTTTCTGCTTCCACTCAAAATAGGCATTTTCAAAATGATATACTAAATGATCTGTGGAGTATTTTGAGTTGAAATTTCACAGACACATTCTGGGGACACCATAGACTTATATTACATATTGTAAAAAGGGGCATAATATGTCTCCTTTAAATTATTCAAATTATAAATGAATATTACAGTTTAAAGTGAGAGAATAGAGTAGAGTTTAAAATAAAAAAACTCAAAGACTCAGTATTACATTATAAATATGACTGGAAAAGTCACGTTTGAAGCTGTTGTAAATCAATATAAATGGTGTGAATGGGATCAAAATGCTTCGTGATCTTATCATGTCCAGGACAACATCAGAGCACTACCTAATGTTGGGCACAACCTATCGATCAGTCATTGCGCTAAAACACTTTCCTCTGGACAGATTCTTGAGTAAAACAATTAAACACCATCTTTGCAGTGGTATTAAAATTTGGAAGCATATTTGGTGTATTTGTATAAACAACATACAGCAAAGCACTGAACTACTATCTGTTGTTTGTAGTCACAAAATTAGAGACCCTCTTCTCAAAATCCATTCACTGCTGCTCACAGGAGATGCATGAGACACTGGTAATACAGTACCTGGTGTAAACATGGTGAGAGAGAGACCAAATAGTTTCCATTGAAATCTTTATTTGTACTTTGAATCTATAAATCAACATTTTTTGTGTGTTTTTTTCCTAGTTTTATTCTTAAACTGTGATCTGTTTGTGTGTCTTTTATATGTCCATTTGTGTGGAATCAATATGTGCAAATGCACTTTACAAACACACCACCAGAAGTCAGTGTTGCATTAAATTTTGCCATCTGGGTTGCCATAAAGTAACAATGAATGAATGAACATTTAATTTAAAAAACAATCTTTAAAAAAATGTGACAAAGGAAGCTAAATAATTAAAGCAATATTATTCTTTCCCACAAACAGAATATAAACCTTTTCAAGCACTGTGCACAATTTTCCAGAGCATTTCATGCAGATGCTTCTATCCAAAATCATTTACATTGCAATCAGTTTTATCAGTTCAGAGTACAAGAACGCAGACACATTTTAAAGATGTTTAATTACAATATTTAATCATATTGTAATTTTTAAATATTTTCAATAAGGATTCCCTCTCATTGTGTAAAAAGGCTCTGTAAAGAATTTCGAAATAGATTTTGAGATATTTTAAGACATCCTGATATGTGAAGGAGTCACTTGCAAGGTTGTATATTTGACTGAATGTTCATTTATTGTCATATTTGTAAGTTATGTGAGATAAGATCACCATCATTGCTTGAGTTATGTGTAGGGCCGGGGGATGTAGTTTTATATAACTATATATTTTTTCAAAAAGTAGATTCATATTGTTTAATGCAAAAGTTAAATACATTGAGAAATGGTTAAACATGGTTTTTCATTTTATTTTTAAAAAAATAACACTGACTATATACTTAATACTCTATATTTACCTACATACATATTTACTAAACCATTTTGATACATGAACAAGGCAACATGGATATTTTTGAGTGATCAAAATAATTATTGAATTTGAACTGATTCATAAAAGTGGATCTGCCATAAATATGTGATGAATAATTAGTATCAACCAGCTTTAGTTATCATTTGTCATACATCTGTCAAAAAAACAACAACTTATAGTTCTTAGTTGTATTTATAAAACAACAACAACAACAACAACAACAAAAACTTAAATCTCTCCATTGACCAGTCTGTTCCAGCCCTGCTATTTGAACATTTATTTAAATAAATAAATAAATAAATACATTTTAAAACAAAAGAAATTGTGTGCTTGGGACAGAGCAAGTACTGCAACTGATTCTTTATTATTTTATTTTATTTTAAAGAATAGTAATTTCACAAATTGAAAATGATTACAGTACACAAATTTAAAACATAAAGTAATAAATTAAATCTAATATATTCTGTCTATTTTAACTATGCCTATAACTATATTTCATATGCAAAGTTCATTTGGGCTTCATATAAAATTATGATATTGGAAAAAAAAAAACATTAAAATGTATTCGAGTAAGGAAATCCATACTGGGACTCACTATTTTTGAAACAGATACTTAAGCACTCACACGGTTTTTAGGTGAACATAGTTTGGATGTCATAGATTTGAACCCCAAATCAGACAACACAACTTATTAAAATGGGGTTATTCTTAAAGTATTGGTACTAATAAAATGAGGAATTGTACTGTTTTTAACAGCAAGGTGTCAATACCATTTTAGTATTGGTATATCATAGAACACTAGCTGTTAGACGTCTGCTTTGCTGCGTGACAGATTACAGACATGTAAAGTGAACATTAGAATGTTACTGACGATGCAGCGGTGCTAATGTTGCGTTTGCTTGACAAGCAGCAGACAGATCCTCATCTGCCGAAGCCCCCATCAGGCAGTAAGAGCTGATCAGTGAGGTGAAACCTGCTGTCAGTGGCGCCGATAGGTTTGAGTGACACAGCAACCGCTTGGCTAGACTGTGCAGTTACCTCCAGCTCTTCTTCTTTGTCTGACATTACCAATCTTACTGTTTCTCTTTCTCTCTTCCTCAGACACCTTGTCTATCTGCCCATCTGTGGTTCTGTGGAGAAGCTGACCTCTTTCCTTCAAGATATACAGTCTACAACCGACCTTCACCTCGTCCCCTGCCACGTGATCTAAGTGGACAGATGATATTGCCACCTCATAAAACTGTTGCCACAAAGACAGCGAGGAGGAAGTAGACTGGTGCCAAACTGTGCCTCATAAGTCTCTGATGCTGGGTAGTGAGAGGTCAGCTGTTTGAGATATGCCCTCACCCCCTAATGATGGAGGTAAGATTGACACAATTACAGCAGTGACACAAACATCCATCCAAAAAACCAGAGTATCCATACAGACCCTAAACACCTGTATATTTCCACCCTCTTTGTTGAAGTAGGCGTTCTTGTAGGGGTTGAATGGTGTTTCTTAATACTAAAGTGTAAAATATATCAACAGCAGTGAATGGTCAGTTGCTAAATGTTTCACAGACGATCAAGGAACGTCCCCCATGAACATGCCACTGACACTGTCCAATCAGAATGGAGTAAAGAGGAAGGTTCACACCAAGAAGAAAAAGAAGGGTTTCATCACAGCCAATGTTGCAGGAACAAAATATGAGATTGGTAGGAAAAACATTCTTTTATTTATGTAAAATTTGTTGATGTAAGGGGACATTCATACAGAACATGTTTTTGCATTTAAAATTGTGAAACGGCAAGGACAATTCTTTATCCAGAGACTCAATGGAACTCCATTCTCTCTCAAAGAAGGCCGAAGATGAAAGGAAGAACACACACACACACACACAGTTTTCCATGTTTTATGGGGACTCTTCATAGGCGTAATGACTTTTATACTGTAAAAACAGTATTTTCTATCCCCTAACCCTACACTCAGATGATACATAGGATTTATTTAACACTTTTATGTCAATAGGTTCCTTGTAGTTAACATTATTTATTTCAGTAAACTTAAGTTGATTACATTGGGTTCATTCAATGCCATTTAGTTGAATCAGGTTAATATTCTTAATTTCACCCAAAAACTATTAAGTTTTGTTACATCCGTGGCATGCCCAAAGTAGTTGTTTTTAATTAATAAAACAACTTTAATTGTTGTTAGCAGGTCCCCAAGCACATGCTCTACACTTCACTGCAGTGGTAACCATAACATAACGTAAAACATAAAAGAACATTAAACATTAAAAGTCTCCCAATTTTATCATCTTGATAAAAAATGCATAAAACAACATTTTATTTCAACATTTACTCGGCCTATCCTGCCCTGTGCAAAGCATGATGGGAAGGGGAAATCCTGTTCCCTTTCAGTCGTTCACGGAGACGTCACAACGTGACTGACGAATTGGATCTCGTTTCGAGAGACCAATCTGCTTTGAGTGTAAACTTAACGAGCCAATGGACATTGGCATGCGATGATTGCATCCAGCTGCCGCTGATAACAGCGTGAGCATAAAACGGCAGTAGGTGCAACGCATACCAGCTTTTTGCTTCGGAGCCGAGCGATCACATCATTTTGCTCCTGACTACTGTACTGAGAGAAGAAGACTGAACAAGTTGCACACATTAGGCTGGCTGCACTACCCCCTGTTTGTGTTGCAGGCGACCATCTCCCCTGTGCGCTTCAGCACTCTGAAAGAGCTTTTTCCCTAAAAGAGTATTCACGGGTGCATCTTTTTAAAGACGACGTTGCGTCTGGCAAATTCAAAGTTGCGTCCTTGTAAAGATGAAGTTGCGTCTTGCTACAGAGAACGTATCACCCGTGCATTTCTGGATGTGGTCGTTACCTGGTGTCGGGTGATGGTCACGATCGCTGCCTCACGTGTCTGGGCATTAAGCACACTGAGGTGGTGTTCGTGGATGAGTCATGCTCTCATTATGGGACGTTGACCATCTCGGAGTTGCGGGCCAACCTCCGTTACCTCTAAAGGGGCGGAGCTCCGTTGCCTCTGCCTCGATCTAGTTCTCGTCATGGCGGCAGTCAGGCGGGGGCTACTTCAGGCAGTAGCACGGGCGGTCTGAGGGTAACAGTGATGGCAATCCCTCCAGGGAACCAACCCTCGGAGGACCATCGCTCCTCTTGTACTCCGCAACCAGTTGAGCTGCCAAAGGAACATGTTGGGCCCTCTACAAGGAGCGTACCAGCAGTATCCTTTGGCGCTCCTCCCGACGATCAGATCTCGATCGCTGCATCGGAGGGTGAGCCGGAGCTTTCTGGAGAGGAAGATTCTGCTGCGCTGCTGCCCTCTGGGACTGTATCAATGACTGAATCGGATCTGGAAATGACGGCTATGCTTTCCCGGGCCGCCGTGAGTGGAGACCTCCACCGTGTCCCGAGCCCTCAAGGTTGGACCCACTGGGGCTGCTTCATATGCGGCTGCTTCAACACTGGCTCCATGGCCGAGTCCTGAGGTGGGCGTGGCAATGCTGCACTCACCGGGTCCAAGTTACACCGGGCTGCCGCCAAACCTTAAGCTTGTGGTCAGACCTTGCATTTCTCCGGGCAGGAGTGCCCCTAGAACAGGTCTCCAGGCATGCTGTGGTTTAAACGAATGCCTCCACCACCTGCTGGGGGGGTCACGTACAACGGGCAAGTAGTGTTGGGGTGTGGACGGGCCCCCAGCTGCACTGGCATATCAATTGCTTAGAGTTGTTAGCTGTGCGCCTTGCCTTGAACCATTTCAAAGGGCGCTTACGAGACAAGCATGTGCTGGTCCAGACGGACAACATGGCGACCTTTGCGTACATCAACCGACGAGGTGGTCTGCACTCCCGTCGCATGTCGCAACTCGCCCGCCAACTCCTCCTTTGGAGTCAGAAGGTTCTAAGGTCACTTCGTGCCATTCACATTCCTGGTCTGCTCAACCGTGTGGCCGATGTGCTGTCTCAAGCTGCGCTACCAGGAGAATGGAGACTCCATCCCCAGACGGTCCAGCTGAATTGGAGACGTTTCTGAGCCGCTCATGTATACCTGTTTGCCTATCCAGAAACCTCTCACTGCCAGTTGTTCTACTCCCTGACCGAGGGAACACGCACTGGCACACAGCTGGCCGCGGGGCTGCGCAAGTATGCATTTCCCCCAGTGAGCCTTCTCGCACAGACGCTGTGCAAGGTCAAGGAGGACGAGGAGTGGGTCCTGCTTGGACGGGACGCGGAGGTTCTAGGTGACCTACACCAGGAGGTAGTTGACACCATCACTTTGGCGAGAGCACTGTCTACGAGACACGCTTATGCTTTGAAGTGGAACCTTTTTGTCGAGTCGTGTTCTTCTCGCCGAGAAGACCCCCGGAGATGCCCGATCAGGGTCGTGCTTTCCTTTTGGCAGCAAGGGTTGGCGCGAAGGCTGTCTCTCTCCACTCTTAAAGTCAATGTCACTGTGATTGCTGCTAACAATGACCCCATGGAAGGGAAGTCGGTAGGGAAGCATGACCTGGTCATCAGGCTCCTTAGGGGGGCGAGAAGGTTAAATCCTCTCCGGCCTTCCTCTATACCCTCTTGGGACCTGTCTCTAGTGCTCAGAGCACTACAGCAGGGCCCATTTGACCCTTTGCAGTCAGTTGAGCTGAGGTTTCTATCAATGAAAACTCTGCTCTTGCTTGCTCCATCAAGAGGGTAGGGGACCTGCACGCATTATTTTGGTCGAAGATTCATGCATAGAGTTTGGACAGGCTGACTCCCAGGTAATCCTGAGTCCCCGGTTTCCAGTACTCCCTTCAGGGATCAGGTGTTGAGCCTGCAAGCGCTGCCCCCGGAGGAGGCAGACCCTGCCCTAGCTTTGCTTTGTCCCGTCCGAGCCTTGAGATGGTACATAGTCCGAACACAAAGCTTTAAGACCTCAGACCACCTCTTTGTCTGTTACGGAGGCCGGCAGAAGGGGAATGCCGTCTCTAAGCAGAGGATGGCCCACTGGATAGTGGATGCCATCAACCTGGCTTATCAGGCACAGGGTGTGCCCTGCCCGCTCAGGTTGCGAGCTCACTCTACTAGAGGTGTGCATTCTCCTGGGCGCTGGCTCTCTCGAAGCGAGATCCCAATTCGTCGGTCACAACGTGACGTCTCCGTTCCATCCTTCGGGGGGAGTTACACAACTGAAATCATTCATGTACTCTCAACTCAAAGGAATTAAGTAAAGTGGTTGAAAAGAATTGTGTTTGATTAACTTAATTTACTTGAGTAAATTGAACAAGCATCAAATGTTATTTTTGGTCTACTTCATTGAAACTTTCTTTCAAAATGAAAATATTGAGTTTTCCAAAACGCAACTGTTTCAAGTCAGTTTAACACAATGCGATGAAAACCTAATACAATGGTGTTAAATGAAAATTCTTTTTTTAAATAAACTGAACAGTATCGTAAAATCATGTTTTTGAGTGACCCTCACACAAAACTTTCTCTCAAACAAAAAGATCATTCTGTATGATTTATAAGCTTGTTTCCTCATGGGGACCAAAGATTGAATCCAATGGAATACAAGGACCACACAATACACGCACGCACACGCACATACACACACACACACACACACACACACA